TCTCATAATATGGCTATTGTTAAATTATTACAACTTCTTTATCAGAATCATACGACTTACTATCCTAATATATGACTTTTTTTCTTGAATGTCCAAATTTCCCTTCAAGTTCAATTCTGGTAAAGTCACCTGGTGTAAAAAGATCACTTAAAAAAATCTATAAAAGACTCATTATGACAAAAATGATTCATAATAATTAAAAGCAGAGAGCGACTGGCAGTGAAGCGTCCTCACTTACCTCTCACACAGCTCCCTGAGCTTCTTCAGCTGAACTGCCTGGCATTCATTGGCTGTGTCCTTTAACTTCTGGAAGGTCTGAAAACACACCACAACAGACGACCACCTGTCAGCCAATCAGTGTGCAGGAGTACGGGAGTGCCACAAAGTGGTGAATTCACTTTTTCCGTCGGAGCGTATGAAAAGTGGAATTCACAGGACGGAGGCCACTGCTGTTCCAAGTGTCACCTTGAGTATGTATGAGGGTGCAAAGTTTGGGTCTCATACACAGAGGTGTGTGTGTGTGTGTGTGTGTGTGTGTGTGTGCGAGACGTCACCTCTTGCAGATGTGTTTGTTGCTTCTCTCTCTCCAACAAGTGAAGCTCTTGTCGTAGTTCCAGCAATGCCTTCAACTGCCACTCCCTCAGCTGCACCTTCTCCTTCTCCAGCTCCTGATCCAACTCCTTCAACTCACGCTGCACCGGCTCATGTGGTTCACTGATCACACACACACACAGAGAGACACAGACACAATGAAGGCAGGTGTCACGAGTCACCAGCTTCTCCCGCCCTCTCTCCCTTCCCTTCCTATTCGTCTCCCTTTCTCCCTCCCTTCCCTTCACCATCCCTTCCTTCTCCCTCCCTTCTTACAACAGTATCTATCTCACTCGATATTTTTTATCTCTATCAAGGTGAGAGGGAGGAGCCCTGTCGGTTTGTTTGTTGGTTAGCAGGTATTACACAAAAACAATAAATAAGATTTCTGTAAAACTCGATGGAAGGATGGAACATGGCCCGAGAAATTCTTTGACTGTAACAAATTTCCCAGGAACTAATTCATGCATCTTGATGACACAAATCAGGGATATTTAGATGACTGATGTCTATGACTGTGAGACATTTGGTGCAGCTTGATTGGATGTATGGAAACAGTTTTTTCCATTTTCTCTCTTTACTCTCCCACATATCCCCACATGCTTACTTTTTCTTAATGCTACGTTTGAGATGTTTCTCCATCTGACTGCGTCTCCTCTCGGTGTCGGACTGAAGCTTGCTACTCCGATTCTGCTCCTTACTGAGATTCCACACCTAGATACACACATGAGCAAAAAACAATTTGTTTTGCAACAGGAAGTGACTTTTCTGTATCAAGGTCCAAGAGTTTCTCAACCATCAAATGAAAAATACACATGGTTCGAAATCTGCGTATCCGTTCTGTTGTGTATCTGCCGGAGTGAGTACCTTCTTGAGGTGTTTCTTCCGCAGCTCTTTGAGTTCTTTGCTCTGCTTCTTCAGCAGCTTCAAATAGGACTTCTGCTGCCTCAGCTCCTCGATAGAGTTGACATTGACGTCTGAGACACACACAAACAGGAAAATCATCTTCCGCACAAACAGACACTTCTGACCTTTCCCTCCGTACTAAAGTGACCTAACAAATGTTTTACACACAACGCTGCATGTAAAACGTGACACGCAAATGCTTTCACTCATTTGTGTGTGAAATGGATGTGCTGGGATGACCTTACCTGTCAGAACGTTGGCTATGAGGTCCTCCTTCTGAGTTGGTACTACACACATGGATGATGGAGAAAAAATGTCATGAAATACAAAAATGCTCATTGGACACATTCGTTTTAAATCATGAAAGCGGGACATTGGGGGACTCACAACACAGTGAAAACATAATGTGCCATTTTTGGAGTGAAAAACATATTTAAACACATTATTGCATGAAATAAATAATGGTCAATATATAATTTATAAAATAATATAGAATAATTGTGCATTGAAGAACACCTACATAGGCATATCACATTATAAACACACATACATTTACATTAAAATGTAACATTTAGGTTTTCATTTCATATTTAGAATTAACATTGACATTATCTTTTGAGAAATAAGTTTACAAATATTGCTTTAAATCTGGTAAAAATTTGACATTCAAAAATAATAAAAAGCTAAATACGGTGAAATGTTATTTTCAGCATGTGCCACTTTATAACCAGAACCATGTAGCCATCACAGGCTACAGACTTCATTAGTGCAGCTTCCTTTCATGGAAAAAGATGAAATAGCTCTGGAAATAGAAACTAGTTACAAGAAAGTCTCTAATTACATTTAAGAAAACAAGTGAGTTCAAATACAGATAAGTGGCAGGTGCAGGAATTTAAGTATTTACTCATGTTACGTCGAGGCTGTGTATTGCTCATGGCTGTCTGTACCTGGTGGAGGAGATTTGAAGATGTCGCAGGGTTCCTCCCATGGGCAGGGGGGGGAGTTGTGCGAAGGGGAGGGAATGACTTCACACTCTTTCTTGCTCTCTCTGTCTCTGGGCTGGTTGGGGACATGCTGGGAGAATAAGACCCATTGAGAATATTTACTCCACGTTCAGATATGTAAAAAAGAAAAAAAACAAACTAACTAGAGGGTGTAGGGAAATGCTTTGTTCTTCACACATACACACCTCACATACATTCTGACATCTCAACAAGATTTTATTTGTAATTCTAGTTTGTTTTATTCAACACACAGATGTGTCTTACCTCACTATTGTCCTCTATAAGAGCAGCCAGCTGTGTCTCCCTCTTTTGTACATGACTGATGGGGTTGGCCAGAGCATCCATGTAGTCTGAGAATTAACACACAAAACACAAAAGAGCACCTTAATGTCATAGATATCATCAGGTTCCTTTTTCATATTTATTATATTTAAGAACATTTAGACAGTGTCAAGTCCCATGGAAGATTTTATACTGTCAGACATCTAAAAACGAACGTAGACTCTGACCTGTGTTACACTGGATGTAAAATAAGTCAGTAAGTGTGTGGTGTGATGTGAGTGTGTTGTTCTTCTCACCCTGGTGCTCATTAGGGATGTAGTCCTTAGCCTCAGTGTAAACCAGCAGGGACGGCAGGAGGAGCGGCTGGTTCAACTCCGTCTTCAGGTTAACGTAGTGGTAACCTGGAAGGAAGCAAGGAAGGGAGAGAGTGAGAGAGAAAGAAAGAAGGAAAAAAGGAGGGAGGAGGAAAGAGGGGGGAAGGGAAGGAGGGAAGGCAGAAAGGAATAAATAAATTGCTTCAGCAACGTAGAAAACAACAAACTGCTCTAAATATGTGTGTGTGTGTGTGTGTGTGTGTGTGTGTGTGTGTGTGTGTGCGAGTGTGCGTGTACTGACCAGGTCTAATAGCCGACACCGGGAGGATGCGGTGACCGATAAACTTGCCGTTTTCTTCAAACACTGCTATCCTCAGAGAGGCCAGCGTAGGGAGGACCACCTGCAGAGAGAAAGAGCCGGTGTTAAAACCAAATGTTTGTCCTTAAAACAAAAGACAGAAAATGATGGAAGTCGACACAGTGTATGCACGTGTGTGTGTGTGTGTGTGTGTGTGTGTGTTTGTGTGTGTGTGTGTGCACAAGTTACCTTAGTGAAGATAAATACTTCATCATCCCACACGGGGTCCAGTGAATTCCCATTGGACGTTTTGGTTCTGTACTTCCTCTTTGTATCAGCAGGAAGTCCAAAAATGTCCACTTCCACATACACGCCCACCTTTTTGTCTGCTAGGAACTGACCTGAGACCACCTGGTGGAATTTAAATCCTCCATGGTTATTAAATCAAACGATCCCGTCAAACACACGGTGACACATATGAAACACTTACTTTAATTTGGACTGTGTTGGCGACGATCCCGTCCACTATGTCCTCTGTAAAAGGGTCAAACTGTTTGTCTGTCCTCATTAACTCGGGTTTCAGTAGGTAGCCGCTGCGGCCGTTATACTCAAACACCCCCATGTTTAGCTGCATGGGAAGATCTGAGAGGGAGGAGGGAAGGAAGGAGTAAAAAAGGACAGGGGGAGAATTATGGATGGCGATGCTTTAACTTGGCCTCTGTGAGACTTTAAGTTAGTATTTGACAGCGTTAAAAAGACAGACTTTATATTTTTATGTTTATGGTTGATTCAAATTCAATCAAATGCTTGATTTAAAAGCTATTTTTAAAAAATTGGGAAATAAAAACAGTGCATCTGACCAAAACCTCCTTGGTTGTCTGAGAGTAAAATAACAGGACTAACCAAGAGTTTGAAAGTTTAGCGCCACCATCTGGCAACCGACATTCCAGAAGAGCTGAGGCATGTAGTTGGAGCTGTCCACCCGCGTGCCTTTCGGGTAGATTCGGCTCAGCTGGTTCTTATTGTACCTGGAGGAGAGCTGTTGAGGAACAATGCTGGATGTAGATGAAGTCAACACCTATACAGGAGTGTCAAATATGTAAAGCGTCACCCTGCATTCTATTCGTTGGGGGATTTGGACAGAATTGTTGCATGAAAGAATCCGAGAGCAGACATTTCACGTACATACAGTGTGAGATCGAGGAGAAGAGCTGAGCGGAGGTTGTCCCAGCAACAAAATATCTGAGCGCACAGTTTGAGCACAAGCAGAGCAAAACTAAGCACAAGCAGGGACTACTTGAGTTGAGTGTGAGCGCAGGGTTTTGAGTGAAAGCCTTACAAAACCTGAATGTGAAATCAAGAACTGCTGCCTTCGAAGTGAAAGAACAGGCTCTTGAATAAGAAGAAAAACGTTTTCAAGGAATGACAGAGCCTCAAAGGATACTCGACAAACTCGAAAGGGGAGCTCTTCAGGGTGTCCATGCCTTTGGTTTCCACGAACGATGACATCTCAAAGAACTTTTTCCTTTCTGGTGAGAACAAAGACAGAAAATGTGATTATAGGAATGAGGCGGTGTGACGGCACTGATCATTAACTATAAACAAGTCTGTTGTTATCGAGGCGTTGAGGCATCTTCCCATCAGCCTCTCTTTATCACTCCCAACCACACTTACTGGCTGCCACCTCGAAGCTCTTGAATTTGACAGGTTCGATGTAGTTGACGAGGGTCGACATCTCCTCTGTGGCGTTCACCTCACTGCTGGCCGTGCCCTAAAGGAGGCATACACTTACTGATCCATCAATCATCCCATCAGCCAGTCAAACACTCCCATCAGCACCTGCTCCTCACGGCTCTTACCTCGTCAGTGTTCGGCTTCTTAGGCTCTGTCACCGCTTCATCCTCCTCTTCTTCCTCGCTTTCCCCCTCGCCTCCTGGGAGGATGCGATATAAAAGGAAATTATACAAAAGCGGCAGCGAACTCACAGCCTTTCTAGTCATCCACTCTTCTTTTTCAACCCACCGATGGACTTGCGAGGCTCCAAGTCTCTGACCATCCTCTCAGCCAGCTTCTCCTCCCCGTTGGACAGCAGCTGGCTCCCCTCGCCATCTGTCAACAGGCCGTCTACAACACACACAGAGCAAAGTACCAGCTTTGATTAGATGCTGTTAAAGCCTCTTGTCTTTGCACATCAATGTGTAGCAGCTACTTTAAGCTTTTGTGTATCTTCCAAGACGTCTGTTTCGTACATAAGAATAAAACGTTTGTACATAAAAAACAGATGTGCAAAAACTTGCTTTATCTTAAAATAATAAAACCCCACTTTTAACATAGTTTCCTACAGCCCTCCTTCAACTACTGATGTGTCCGAGTACCAGTGTTGGGTAAAGACTCCTCCTCCAGCTCCCTGCGTCGTATGCTACTGCTGCTCGAGGGTCGGTGGTGGTGGTGCTTCTTCTTGTTTTTAATGAGGATCTTCCCCATCATCTCCTGAGGCGACGGGAGCGGCTGACCTGGGACCAGCTAAAGAAGAATAACAAAACAAAGAAGATTTACATTTATTGTCAGAGAGACGAGCAGGGACTATTCTCTGACTAGATTAAAAAAAAAAAAAAAAAAAACTGTGATGTGACTAGAAGGTGGGAAATGTTTAAACAGAAAAGATAAAGGAATAAAGACGTTGACTAATTCAGATAAAGAACTTGTACCATGAGGCCCTGGGAACAAGGTCACAGTGGATGCACAGCCACAACATCCAGATTTAATGCTCGCAGGAGTCAGAGAAAACCACAGGGTTCCATAACTCAACTTAAATGTCCCTGAGCTCGCTTTGAATCAACAACAACTTTGTTGTCCTCAAACTTTGAAGTCGGAGACTTCAAGAAAACAAGAAGATAAAGTATTCCTAACTTCTTACAGCGGCATAATTCATCATCTTGTCTTGACCTTTTACCTTGTGTCTGTGTCGGGGGTCAGGGGTATTTTTATCAGCTCTTTATTCTAACATTTGAAGAGCTCATCTGCTTATTGCAGTGTGTTTGATCATATTTGACACTCTGTTTGATAACAGCAGAGAGACGTTCCTTTAAAATGCATTTAGAGCAGACTGAAAAATGAAAGCAGCACATGGCATATGTTGAAAAGGATACATTCCAACAGGAGTGTAACACACTGACACGAGACGTGAGATCACGCCTATCAGTTCCACCAGTCTTACCGGATATTTCTCCAGTGGATCGATGAGCAGGGCGTCTCCGAAGATGGTCCGGCAGTACTCAGCCATCTTGGCCTGCTGCTTGGCCCTGAGAGGAGATGAGACATAGGTTAGTGTCTGATTTACTTTCAACAAGGGCCTAGAGAAATGTATTTTATTTTATTGTTTTTATTCATTTTATAATTTATGCTATAAAATGTATCCAAAATGCAGCAGCCTCACTAAATCTACCACATTACTCCGATATTTGCTTCTCTTCATTGGAACAATGTTATTTAAATCACTCTATTTACTCTCTCTTTAAAGACTCATTCTTATAGGTGTGCTGTCTCCTAGTTCTGACTTTAACTATTTTTATCATTTTATAATGTTTCATATTGTCTTGTTTATTATTTTAACTGTTTCCTATTGTTTGCCTACAATTTTTTAAATTTCTAACTTAAAAAGCACTTGAAAAGCAACATCAATTATCTACTTTTACTACTATTATTTTTATAATGTCATCTTCTTATTTTGATATTATCCATCTATATGTATTCATTCTTTTTTTATTTTCACAATCAGAACTTCTCATGTTATTTATTCTTTTTTCTATTTTTATAAAGCCCTTTACTGATCAGTTGCACACTTTCTAGGAAATATCTCATTCAAATCCTTGAAGTATAGCATCCAGGCAAACACACATGTATGCTGCTTGTGTGACTTACGAATCGACGTGGTTTTCAAAGGAGAGGATGACGGGGTACGGCGAAGTCTTGAAGGCGCTCTCCGCAATCGCTTCAATCACCTCCTGCAGTCAGTCGGACGAAAAAGAGCGAGCAAATTAAAACTGAGCAAAACTTCTCATTACATGTTCTCTGATTATTAGCCCCTGAATTAGTTCTGAAAATATGAAAAATGTGAGAGCAAATTAAACAAGGGGATACGAAATGTCTTAGTAAAACCTTGGACAGCTCCATAGAGAATTGTATTAAAGATAACAATAATGAATAGAAGAGTATAATATGTACGTATTTGTATTTAAGAAATGAATCTGTCCTTACAAAGGGGACAAACTCTGCAAACTAAATGTAGTTTCTCTGACCTTGAAGGGGATCTCCGTAGTCATGGTGAAGCCGTGGGTGATGTAGGGCTCCTCGTCTTGCGGTCGTCCCTTCCAGCAGTCCAGCTCCACACAGCGGCAGCCGGTCAGAAGCACCTGTCTGTACATCTCCACTGACGACAGACCGGTCAGCTGACCGACTGAACACAGAGAAGGAGGGAAAAGATGGTTTTCAGATCCAAAGAAAAAGAACTATAAATGGGTAGATAACAATGTGAAGCATTGGATTTGCATTTTTTTCCCCTTGGACCTGAGGTGTGTGCTTTCACCTGTGAGGTACGTGTTGTGTGAGGAGTTGATGAAGTAGTGTGACAGCGGTTGGTTCATATCGTCGATGATGTCCAGCTGCTCTGGAGGCACGATGCTGTTTTCCTCTCCTCCCAGGTACTGGATGAAAGCCTGCAAACTGATCTGGTCTGCAGGAGACACAGACGACAGAGGTTGACACTTTAACCATAAAATGATGAATTATAAAACAGCGAAACGTGTTTTTTAAAGTTTGTTTAACTGGACTGACCAGCATCTAGGTTTTTTCCAGTTTTGTAATATAAAACTTGCAGCTGTGATAAGACCAACTTTATAAAATACGGAATAAGCTATTTGTTGTGTTAAGAGTCATTGTTCATATGCAAATATGTGCTCAACTCAACTTTTACACCTCCAACATCGATTTATGTTCGACAGGAAGTCCAACTTCATGACATAATGGGGAGATTCGAGAGCTTTTGGCAATGAGGGCCGATGCCTGTGTCAAAGTGCTGTAAACAAAACAGGTGATTTCAGCTGCGGAATTCATCCGTCATGTCCTCTTCTCATGCACCACCCCTCATCTGAACGCTGGGAAAGGTTTCCTTTAGTGGTGAACAAATCTGAACCCGACAATCTCCAGCTGTGTTTTTCATATGAGAAAGGTCAAATCTGGGTGATGTCCAGACATTATTCAGTGTTCATGTCTGAAAACGGCTTTCGAGGGCAGAGCTCCAGTTTTGGTCTCAACATCATTGGCTTCTTATAGATTTTTGGCTTGACAGTTTCCGAGCAAAGCTGCAGACGTTCCCAAGTTTCACACGCATCGGCGGACGACCAGGGCCGGCACATGTAGATGATTCCAACAGAACTAGAAACAGCCTCGATCTGGTCATGGCCAAGATTTTTAGAGGAACGCAACCTGTGCCCCACTTTTGCTGTAATAAAAGTCAAAATAAATTACACCTATAAACCTATAATGATCCACACATTCGCTGCTGATAAACTTCGATTTAGGACGCAAATTATAAGAAGATACAGCAGGTTGGTGCATCCTGGTCACTTCCCTAGAGAGAGATGTTCTGGGATCGAAATAAAGGCAAAAGAACCAGATGCTGAATCACCGTCTCCACAAATGAAATTCACATGTGCTCTGGATGTAAGTATATAAACGCCTTGAATGTAAATGACTAACCTCTATCCAGCTGGCTGTAGTTGGTCTCGTATCTCTCCATGATCTGTCGGACCTGCTCTCGTTTCAGCGGGGGGTACAGCACCTCGTTCAGTCGGGAGTCTCGCTGCGTGTGGTTGATGAAGTCCGTCAGCTGGTCCAGGGAGATGAACGGCTTCTTCTTCGAGCCACTGGAGCGCAGAGAAGAGCGTATTTCAAAAGAGCAAATGCATTGTCGCTTCAACAAAAGGTTATGAGTGTTACTGGGAGACTTTTGAATTTGAACTTCCTGAATTTTATTCAGGGAAAAAAGGGATTAAACATTGATGGGAAAATCACAGTGTGTGTGTGTGAAACTATTATTTACTAGTTCAGCATCTGTTCTAAACCTCCAGAGCTACTGGAGTCCTCCGCGAATAACTCAGTGAACTGGTGTTATTTTTTTTTATACATTACATGCCGGCTATTACCGAGGTCTTCTGAGCAACGGACACAATCTTCAAATTCACAACTTCTCAAAATATATAATTCAGCTTGATGTGAAGCATTGCAGTAACAAAACATATGTTGTGCTTTTAATTTGAAGACAGAAAAAAAACACTTCTATAGTTTTAAGGACATAGAGGGAGACATGTTAAACTCGTTCTGTAGACTGAAGCCACACTGCCCCGCCCCACTGACTGCTACAGAGCACTTGTCACCGGATTATTCACATTGTATTGATAGTGAAAGTAGAACAAGTCCAAAACACACACAGTTTGTCAGATTGGGCACATACTGCACCTTTTCTCGAAGATGCTTTGTATCTCAGGCCGGAGACAGAGGCTGGTGAGAAACTTCTGGAAGGCCTCCCACGTGAAATCATCTGGCTTTAGTCCCTCAGACTGCAGAGAGGGAACACAGAGGAAGGGAAGTGAAAATAAAATGACCAGACTGAGGAATGCAAAGTTAAACACATGTTGCATCAAACATGCCGAATTAAAAATTATTTCTGGTCTCCACTACTGAGTGTAAAGACATTAAACTCCTGCTTTGTTGTTGGATTCCCTCAAAAACAAGTGGAGCAAATTGCTGCTGTTTCCTGCCTTCTTTTACAGACTTTTTTCTAGTTCAATTTTCAGATTTAATGTGTGTGAAGAGAGACAAACGAAAGTGAAAAAACTAATATATATGAAAAAGTATTCTTAACATCAAAGAAAAAAGAGCAATACAATGTCTTGGTGCAATATTTCAGTGTATTCAATCTATCCATCTAATAACACAAAGCTCAGATCTTTCTGTTCCCCCTGTGCATGTCTTCTTCTGATTGACCAGCAGAAGGCAGAAGAGTATGACACACAGAGAAAGGCTGACAGTGCAGTTTGCACAATCTGCTCTCTCATTCAAAGGGAAATGTCTTGTGACTCCAAACTGATTTTTTACAAAAGATCGCACTGACTGATAAAGACACAAGAGACCTTGTTTCACCTACTACACCACAACCCTATGGTTCCTTACTCTGCAAGTACCAGCTGAGGACTTTGACAATACAGTGGATGAGAAGTCAAACTTTGGGAAGACTCATAACCTT